CTACAGAAAGAGCGCCGCCGATTTGTTGTTAGATTCGTTGTACATGAAAGGTTTTTGAAAATGATTTCAAGATTTCAATCGACCAATACAAATTATAAATGTGCTAAACTAGGCTTACATTAAAATGCTCGATAATCTTTTGAGTCAATTCGGTAATTACACCGACATTACTAGAAGCTTTCTTATTCCATTGATCACCATTCGCACTCCGCCCTCCGCATTCCACATTCCACTATTCATCGCATCGACTTGTTGTTCATTAATTCTATTTACTATCATTCATTAGATTATTCACTAAATGTTGTTGCTAGTGATTACATTTATTCCACTTCACAAATCAACTTGAATTTCGACAGCTCCGCTTCATTGATCCAATCCTACCAGTAAGTAAAGTACACTAAATATGCAATCTCATGATCCTGACAATTTGCATTGCGTCTCTGTCATGAAAGCGGAATGTTAGATGGATGCTGTGAGAACGGAAAGTTTAAGGTTGGCCGTACGAGGTGGCAGATTTTTGAGTGGGTTAGTCGTTGGTGTGATTGTGTTCGAGGATAAGAAGGCTTTTTGGATGATTCCTTATGGGGTAGAGAGAACCACGTCTATAAACGTGTTGATCGATATCTCTCTGAAAGATTTAGAGGGTAAGCGTTAAACATGCAGTTATTAATTTCGAAAGTATGTCAGCAAGTTTCAATATCGAAAACAACTGCTAGAGACGTATTCAACTCTGTTTTAGGAGCATGGAGGGATAATCCGGAATTTTCTGCTGTTAGTCAATAAATTCAATCAGAAATTTTGGTTAGAAAAGAATCGAGATTCGGAATTTTATTCATCTCGTATAATTTGTAGTTGTATTGAACGAATTATAACATCATATCTTTGAGGATGTCGTTTAGAAAATAAATGCTGTGTGTGTCTTTTATATATTCAGATATCATCGTTTCGGACCTTTCGGGATAAATTTTTGCAAAGGACAAGTAATACCATAGATCGGTACATGTTGAAACTTCATTTGTGGTCATGCCGCTTCGTTGCGGGAATATTGGCAGTACCTTCCGCAATCACCCTACATTATACCCGATTTTTGAATGCTTTCATTCGAACAGGTTTAGGAACAGTGAGCAAACTTGCTGGATTTATTTTCTTGTTTGTACTCATGCTTTTTGATCTTCATAAGGCTTTTTGACCTTCTCATCCCACAGATCTACAAAGAAATGAAGATGAAACTGCTAAAAATTAATACTAACAGGAATAGCCAAGATCAGTTTTAAACTCATCTTTTCGTCTCCTGTTTAATTAGTCATCATGTTTGATGACAATATATTTTAGGGTTTGTATTATCTTGTTCATTTCTTATTGGTAATAATTGTTGGATGCGAATATCTCATTCTGTTCCCATATGAGCAGCAGGTGCGGCCATCACTTCGTATCCCTCTATATTACGCTGTCGGAGGATATCTAACTGTTTGCATTCTATTCCATTATCAGAAAGCATGCTCCGTCGATCCTGGACAGCCAGAATTTGTAAGTCGTTTCGAAACGAACTTTTCAATTGTTCTCCGATATTTCTTACACTGGGACTTGGATTTTGTTTTTCTCTGTAAATGGCTACAAAATTGCAGTCTGATGCGAGACCACTGTGCATCTCTTGTGGGTACCACAAACCAGAAGGGACACACCATTGTTCACTTTGTGGTCGCTGTGTGTTATATATGGATCATCATTGTGTATGGATCAATCAGTGTGTAGGCCTCAATAATCATCGCTATTTTTTACAATTCGTTGTCTATGTGTGGTTTTCGCAGTGCTTCATACTCATTGCCAATTATACGGCTTTTTGGGAACACTTCTATTCTGTCAATGTTTGTTTCTATTGATTTTATATATTTATATGTTCATCCTCTATTTGATCAAAGAGTATTTAGAGAAAGTCTCCAAAAAATTTATTAGATGTATAGCGAAATGATGACGTATATATATAACTGCAGCATCATGTTTTTCCTCATCATGTTTTAATTGATAACTGCAGCACTTTATGTCATTTATTGCGAGATTTTTTCTAAATCCCGAAAAGGTTCATATTTGTGTTCTGCTGTCGACCAGTCAACCCAGTCGTTCATAGCAGTATAAATTATGAGTTCATGCTCAGTTTAGAATGTTTTCTAGTGTTGTGCCGAGCAAGTTTCGTTTTTTTATTCTAAAAGATTTCGACGTCATTAAACGTCATCCTCATTAACTTACTGCACGTTTATAGCGTTTAGAACAGCGATAGAATCTGACGTTTAACGTCGAAATGTTTTGGAAGAAGTAAACTTACTGCTTGGACCTGGAACTATTTTAAGGAAATATTGGACTTTGCAGCGCTTATCAGCAGTACCATATTGTGCGCAGCATTTATCATTGGCACCATGGCGCGGCTTGCTTTGTTCACTGATTCCAAATCTTCTGAGGAGTTATATTTGTTTTGTTTATGGACTCGCAGCGCTTTTATTCATCATTCTTGGAATGTTCGCAGCATGGAACATGTATTTAATCTCAATTGGCGAAACATTCGTCGACTACTTGGCTGGTTTTCACGCCGTTTATGCTTCTTTTTAAGATAAATTTCATTTTAGATTTAATCGCTGTATAAATTTATTGACGACTTAGTAGCGATTTCAAAATAATATTTGAGTATAAAATGACTGCCGATGTGGAAATTTGATTCTGGGACTTTTACCTGGAAAAGATTTCTGCTAAAATTTGGTCAATTGCTTAACGTTGTATGGTTATTATTAGTATATAACCCATATGCATTATTTTGCATACAATAAAGCGTCTTTAAGCTAAGATTATAAAAAAGTTCAGTAACAGTACCCCCTTGGTTTACTTGGAGTTTATGTAATTTTCATACTTAAACGTAAATTTTCCATACTTAAACCTGCTTAACCACTACCAATTAATCTCATACCATATTTATTTAACGCTTTTTCCTTCATTTATATTTGAAAAAATTATATTGTGGAGCATGGTGGATGCAGGATATGAAAAAACTAAAAATTTGTAATTTAAAGTTTTTCGAAATTCCTTGATCAGATTGGGTATGCTTCTGTTTCAAGTCTGAAATGTATTTGTTATTACCTTGACAATAAGCTGAACACCAAACGCGAATGAGAGTATTCAAGGCAGAAAAAGAGTTATGAGCCATGTGCTGTGCTTCATATATTATAAGCGCTTAGGGTTTCTTTTTATAGGGTCTAGTATGTTTTATTTCACATTTTGAAGTCTTAACAATTGTAGCAACATCGTGATTACCGACGGAAACACTACAGATGGCGTTCACCAAATGATCTCGGATTCGTGGAAAACTGGCGCTGTTTCTTGGGATTGAAGCAAGGCCGTACTTTCATACGGCATATTCTGCTGCCATCCTCTCATTATCCCATTGACAGGCGTCTCATATGTAAAAGTGACGTTCTATCTTTCGTCATATGAATGAATCGTAAGTTTATTTCATTCGCTATTTTATGATAGTATTAACTATAGCGTTTTTTATTAGTTAATTTCCATCCCACTTTTATCTCACTTTCGTTTCAATTATCGGTTTTTCCGTATTGACTTGGTATTATATGGAAACAACCATCATTTGGTTCACAGTTTTATACCACGTGATTCTCTTTGTTTCAGTCCTGTAAACAGTTTAATCGAACGATAACTGGCCATTTCTAAGACTACAAGATAAATATTGAAGAATAATGGAAAGCATAAGAAGGGATGAGATATTGGTAAAATAGTGTAGTTTGCCCGTTTTGGTGGCTGTGCACCTGGCAGATGATAGTGACTGCTTAAAATGAGGAATAATAAAAAAAGAAAGCTGGAAATTTTGTACAAAAGAGGCAAAAGAGGCACACAAAAGAGGATGATTTCATCATAACTAATTCCTGTTAATTATTGATTTCATTTTTGTTCCAGAATTCGTCAAGGCTAATCGCGGATGTATGATCCAGAACTGAAACGCGTGGACGTTCAAACAATTCACCACGTCGTATTTTCAGTAATGCTTCTTCCCTCGTTGTACTACCTACTGTACTTTCTCGTACGGTAAATAGTAGGTTTTGTTTGCTTCGACTAGGTACCGAGAGTCGCTCCTCGCTCGCTTGGCGGGCATTAAAACGTGGTTCGATCGTCAGAACTGTTGGGTCAATTCGTTCCGGGTTCAGCTGCCGTAACGAGTGCGAATTTTGACTCGAAGTATTTTGTTCTATTGCTTTTCTGTAATTATATTACGATTATGACGATTTGATTCCATTCATTAGATTTTACTTTTATTCATGTAAATTGCTACAAATAACCTGTTTTCAGTCTTGCTTATTTGCATTCTTGTTCAGCTCTATATTTGCCTTCAGTATGAATTTTTCGTTTTAAATCTAATGACATAAGAATATGACCTAATTGTTCACCGCGAAAAATATTTTTTTCACTCATTTTTTAACATTTAACCTTAATGAACTTCCGTCTAGTACTACATTGCGAACGTTTTCAGTTGCTGTAATCAGTCTTGCATCGTTTTTAGCACTGTCACTGTTTATAGCAACATTGCCAGTTTTCTGGATTTCGGAGCTCCCGATATGTGGCACTACAGTAGATGTAGCAGCGTGCTGCACATCGATTTCCGTAACCAGGCGCTGATTTACATCGGAACTGCCAATACGCGACAATGCATGTTGTTTTCTGCACTTCCGGTAACATAAACAAAGTAGGATAAGCGTCAGTAGAACAAGCAGGATTGTAAATAACCAGATGGTGTAACTGATGGGAGACTTCGCAAGACTACTACGCATGATTTCTTGTGGAAGGTACGGTATCGTCGTGCCATCTGAAAGTATTTTCTTTGCGATCATTTCATAGCCGAACGGCTGTGAAAATGTTTACTGTTGAACATTATCGAGCATCAAATGTTACCTTGACGACGCTTGCATATATATTCATGACGATTTCTGCAGTCATCTGCAACCAAGATATCTCTCTTCCTATTGTGCCAATCCATATAGGCGCACTCTTGTCCCGGAGAACTTCCTGTGAGTTTCGGCAAGCTGAAACTATCAGATTATGGGGCAATCTTAATTACTGGCTTTCATTTTGCATCTTTTTATTCTGTGACATAAAAGCAAAATGATCATATTAGTAGCTATGACACAATAATCCCTTTCTGGTGCAATATGATAGATTCGTACTGGATATTTCTGTGTAAGTTTATTTGCTTAATTCTGCAAAATATTATTGGTTGTAATATGTAGAGTTGTCTCTATTAAATGTATTTTGACTAAATCCCTCGTTGATGTGGCGCCAAAGATTCATTTCCGTGGCAGGATGGCATTAGAATAGTACCGGATATACCGGAGTTAAAGTCTTGTTTTTATTTTCATTGTTGAATAAATGACTATCTACGAACTCTTTTGGCCAAGGTCCGTAGTTTGGATCCACGGGCATAAATCTGCCTTCACTGTTATGATCCATATAACCAATCCATGGAAGTGTTTTGCTTTTTGTATAAATTGCTGCAATATGTTAATTTACCATTGAGATTCATATTATTAGACATTTGTTCTGGATCCATTTGGTAGGCGAGCGAAATGAAACATATAATCAAAAGTTACCTGCAACAAACGAATACTCATTGACAGAGGTCAGTGTGAGCAGGTTGCTACGTACTAAACTACATTCTTTCTGCGCTTCTAACCACGTCAAACCGTGAATCGGTCTCTTTAATACATAACAGTAACCTACCGAACTGGAAGTCCAGCTCGGTGGACATCCTAGCATATCTGAAAACGAGTGAAGTGGAAGATAATGGATAGAAAATTAGTCATACCAACTGCATTATGTACACAATGCCATACATAATGCAATTATTCTCACTAATCTGCTTTTGCCTTCATAGATTCACAAATTTAAATGAAGTTATATCGTAATATTTTCAAAGAAAGTTGTTCGTGACAAGGGCAGACAGAGACAATCACTGAAAACCGTCGATATAAGCAGCCCAGAATTTTTGCACAGTGCTCGTTAGACTTTGCTAAATCTTAGATAATTTTTCTAGTAAAATTATAGCATTAATTGCACAGGTCACAAACAAAATTTAACCTTATGTAATAAACAGTCTACACAAATGCTGCAATTCAACTGCCGAGGAACACAAGTAGTCACGCTTTAAAAAAAGAAAAATACCGAATTCGACAAAGGACATATTGATGCCTTTCCTTTGAAATACCTCGTCGCTGTGGAAATACACATAAAGTGAGTCGGTAGTACTGATAATCGCATCCGGATGTTTATCACCACACCAACGCACTACCTCTGGTGATTTTGATGTATCGCCTGCAAAAAGCAATGGACACTTTCCTTATTTGTCGTTCTTCTTTTGGCCTTTGAAAGATTACGATTGGACTCGGAAAAGGCTTGCCATCATGAATGGAGCAGTAATCATCACATTTCGAGAACAAGGCATCGTCAATGTCGGAATCATGAACAGTTAGCATTATTCTTTTCCTGCTGTTGCTACCCATCAGTATCCAGCTGCATCGCATGTTATTTGCATATCGACCAGTTTCATATCCAGTTGTGTGAAAATAAACTTGCTGAGCACCAGACTTCGCTTGCAGTACTATCGGCTGTGCTGTAGTACGATCAACATTTGGAAGGTAGAATTTGAAAAAATTATGTAGGAGAAGAAAAGTGGTCATTCATAAAATTGACTAGCATTATAAGCGATTCTAGCACATCAAAAAATAGGGAGAGAATTATAGAACGATTAAATGGTTATGTTGATCGTAGTCTCCTAAAAAAGCTGAGTGTCTACCATTCATTAGAATATTGGCACGTATTTAAGGCTTGGACCAACTGATCTGTATTCGTTTGCCACTGCTGGCATAACAGGAATTCAAATCCATAATATTATTAAGCACAAGCTTTCACCTATGAAGCTTACACTAATTTCAAACATTATTGTCCTTATGATCCATCCTATCAGTTTGGTTTTCAAAACAATTGCAAATAAAGAAAAATTTAAATAAAAAAGGCCGAACAGAAAATAAGTATTACCAGGGCATGCCTGTGCATGCGCGATCATCGTGCTGTCGAAATTCCGTATTACAGTATAAAAAACTATATTAAGAATAAAACAACTCTTCCCAAAGCAAAGAAACCGTAATGGTAATTTAGAATGATGAAGAAATAGTAATGAAAAGGATTGAATATATTCAATTGGGGTACTAATAAAGAAGATCAAGGAGCCTACTATACACATAGTAATCGGTGATGAGAAATAAAACAGCTTGGTGACGATGCGAATAATAATAGGAAATGGTACTGATTATAACGGAATGAAAGAATTCCACGTTTCAATTACATCGAATCTTATCACGAGAGAACCGGAGACACTGGATATGCAAATTCAGAATAATAAGATGGTCGAAGAGGATGGTGGTGGCGGATTCATTACGAAAAACCCAGGCAATCACTTTATACTACTCAAGTTTCCTAATCCTTTTGAAAAAGCGTCCTTTGCATCCATAGCAACCAAACCGATAGTTTACGGGTCAACCGAAGGCAATTATGGAACATCGACATGAGTGCTTCAACATTTCGTTGCAACGGTACTTGGAGATACCAGTAGTCTGCTCCATTCCTTGCCCTCTAAAAAATAAGTCTTATCGAAATTTCGACTATGATCAAATGACTGCATTCTCCCCTTCCTCTTTCAACGTTTAGCATGGAGTTCCCTCTATCGTTTCTCTGTAGATCTTTGCTAACAGGTAATTTCACAATTCACCGCTATTTGCATGATATTCCGAAATTTAATCCTTAACAATCAGCTACTGTTGGGTGCCCATCTGCCGTTCCTTACCTTTCATTTGCCTTAAACTACCTTTTCTCGTTCAACTTCTGCCCATAATCAGAGGCTGTTTTCATTATTTCTTAACGCATCTATTGCGTATTAGCATCTCTGTTTTACATTATGTCCCTCTGAAATGCAAACAAGTATGTGCAATGTTTGCCGAATATCAACTTAACGATCGTTAAAAACGTATGATTACGGGTTAGCAAGGATTGACTGACTTGTTGAACTTTCCCTTATTATTATACTCTCAACTAACTCTGCTCATTTCACTGAATAAATGTGAAATTAACTCATCAACATTCAAACAATACTTTTCTGCCAAATAAGATAGTTTGTCAGACTGCAGAGAGGTCATAAATGATAAATCAGTGTTATTCCGGTGATGCATATCAAGTGAAAATTTGAAATTTATGCTGAAATGTATTTGAAGTGGTATTGAGACTGACGTAACGTGTGATCTCGCATCTGCTTCTTGTTCTTGATAAAATATGATCTGAAAAAGGGCAAGAAAAAGAGAACAGAAAAAAAGGAACTAAAATATTGATCGAAATATCACATTATTGAATGGACACATAAACTGATTAGAAATTGCTTTTTCAGTGTTCTACAGATAGTATTAGTAAAAAATGTTTACGACACACGGACAATGAAGCTGGCACTTATCTTCGTGATAGACTTGTTTAAATAGTGATTGAATAATCCTGTGATACAGTAACTGTAAAATGCTGGAAGAGCGATGAAACCTATGGACATCGTTAATCAGAAAAGACATCTCAAGGGAAATGTGTCACGAGGATGAATGACAGATAGAATATATGATGTGATCATTTATCAGTAAACAAAAAGAAAAGTGTACGTCAAGATGAAGATTTTAGTTTGCATTATTTTAGTTTCCGGTTGGTTAATCTACGATACATCATCATATAAGTGTATTCCGAAGGAAAGATAGCTTGATAGTGCATCAAAGTAGAACTTTACGTTGATCTTCTGAAAGATGTATGACTTCAAATCATGCGCCACATGATAGTTGCGTTTGGCTTAAGACGATACATATTTCTCCTCACATTATTATTACAAACCTTGTCATTGCGTCATGAAAGATTTGCACTCTAAAAGGAATCCGCAATACTCTTTCCAACAAAATTAGATAAATCGAATTTATCACTCTATGCGATGTGATCGGCGGTGAATTGAGGATATCATAGTGTTTCAGGAGGGGCGCTGATAGTATGTTCCTATGAACATAACAAACGATAATAAAAATTTCTCTAACGCTGGGACGTCAATTTCGCATTATGTCCTCTCTCGGTTCGCTGCGCTGCAATCCATTTATATCATGGTTTTTTTTTTTTATTTATTTAGAAGGGTTTGGGGTTGAGCTAACTAGTGGGGTCAGTTCCTGGCTTCTCGGTCCTTGAGTATTTTATCGATTTAGCAACTCCTCTCTCTCAACAATGTAGGTTTAACTTGCCAAGTTTTCATCTTTTTCACCACTTATACCTATCTATATACGTATATAAGGTTAATCTTTCACACCAGGTATTTTTTAAATAGCAGCTTTGGTACTGTCTACGTTGCTCCTCGCCCACAACTAAGAATCGGTGAGATATTTTCTAAATAAATATACAGTTCCATTGTATGCTACAATATATTTATATTATGTATTTCAGCCATTATATATTTGACTTCTCTGTTCCCCATTCACTGTAACGTTACATTTCGGGGTATGCAGTCCATGCAGATGGAGTTAATATGAAACATTGGTATCGATTTCTACTCTTCGTAGCTTCCTGTATGCTAATTTTCTTTTCAAATTTAATTTTCGTAAAAGTGGAATTTTTTCTTTAAACAGAGAAAGACTTGGGATTAGTAAGACCACAAATATACTGAGCTTCACTCCGACTTTCCCCGATATATGTTATTTTTTTATTCCCACAATCAGATTTCAGACGGAGAAAACTGACCTGCTGTAGTTAAAGTGGGAGAGGGGTTCAATACCACTTGGATTACCGAAAGGTGAAATTAAATGTTATACGGTATGAACTGTGATGGTAGAGATAAGTGTGTGTGTTAGTTATCTTAATGTAGGAATGTGACTGCAAAAAGATTCATTCAGGGGAGATTAGTTGTGGTGAACGACTATCGGATCAGATATATCTAAATTTGATTGGTGGAAGGTATAGCTGCTTTCGATTGTTGAATGGAACACATGAAATTGGATGCGGTTGTAAGTGCTTATGAAAATCAGATATAGAGGCGCTCTAGGAAATGATCAGAATAAATATCTTATTGAGCTTTATATTGATACTGTTTTAGCTGCAGAAGAAGGAAACGAAGGTGTAGTTGTTTATGCAGATAACGCTGATGAGTTGATTAATCTTATAACAGGTCTTGATTTCGCCGATCGCATTATCATGGCTTTCGACATATTCCTTCTAAATGAGTAAGTTTCAGGTTAGACTTTGTAAATTCTGGTTGAGATGAAATGTTGTTATGAAATGAAATGAATGATATTAATAAAAAGAACACACACTATTGCTGTTGCAGGAGGATAATCAGAGTGTTAAAAGACAACAGGGTACATGGTGTGCTTCTTTTACGCAACGACTCTACTATCATTGATCAGAAGCGGCTGAATATTGGGTTTTCAGAAGATGCCTTTTGCCCTAATGAGCAGTTTGGTAAGCTTTTTGACATTTCGTATTCTCGGTTAAGTTAATAATTTATGGTCATTTGAAGAACTACTGAGTAATAATTAGTTACTTGATGGTTTGCTATAAGGACGCAATAGATCTACGAAGCTTATTTTTTTTAGATCTCAGTGGAGAGTGTAAAAATTGGTGGAATGAGCGTGGCGCATTAGTGCCGGCAGGTTTTCGATTCATCAATTGGAAGAAACCAATTTTTGTTATTGAAAATCTCACTGAAATCGATATCATCAGAAACTTCGTAAGTGGATTTGCTACCCTTCATATTTACCATTCGTTTTGAAAAGATTTAAATTACTACTGGTATGAGTGGGTCATGTGCCCATAGATCTCATGGATTTCAATATCACGTTTGCATCCGCCGTCCAAAAAGCAGTTATTGCAGTGCTATGAGGCATTCAACAAGAAGAATTTGAAAGGAGCCGTACTTTGTTCAGCGCGCATGAAACATTTCATGCGGGCAGCGGGGAATGCTGAAATATGTCTCCAACGCCAGAAGCTGTTCTATGGCTTTTCGGATTCATCGTTAGTGCTCAGAGAAGCATTTGAATTTGTTGCTTTAAACTTATATAGGTTACAGGTCACATTATTTTGGTTTCAGGATCTCTCTCTGCGACCCATTGGGAGATAAAAATTTGTTTGCAACTGTTCCAGCATTTATGAAAAAATTCAGACCCAAAATCTTAATCCTCTCTGCCAGAGTATGATTTTACATATTTTGCTTTTTATCGTTTCATGTGATGAATCTCAGAAGAATAATTTTGAATAATAATAAAATTGTAATGACTACAGAAGCAGCATTTGAAGATGTTGTAGATGGATTCCTTCAGTTCGTTCACAGAAGCAGCAGTCGGTGAGGTGTCTGCTCTCACATCACTCATTAGCCTTCTGGCGGTTGCTAAAACGATTGCAAATCATTCCAGTGATTTTGAAGCTGTGGCGCAGCGCAATGGGCGGGCCGTTATTTTTTCCTTCTTTCATGGTGTATGTTCTTGAATTTTCAATCGCAGATGCTTACAGTAACTGTTTGCTCAGTTAAATTAGCATAATAATAATAATAATAATAATAATAGAGTTATTTAAGTGTAACTAAAACTCTATTCTTTATTAATATGGTCATACCATATATTTTTTTATGCAAGATATTTTAATCCCAACAAGCAATTTCAGGAATCGCTGGGTTATATTGGAAGTAGTGCCACGGTGAATGACATCATAAAAGGCGAATTTCCTCTAGATATCCGACTGACAGACATCGATAGTTTTATTGAGGTAACGATGAAGATCATGAGCATGATAGTAGAACTGTTGTAATAAGGTTGATTAACGATATCCCATAGAGCCATTATTACATATGCACAGCAAATTCAACAAGCAGTAGGATCGAAAATACTGTAGCAATAAAATTTAACTTACTTTCTATTACTTCTAGTTGTTATTATTTTGCAGGTGCAACAGCTTGATGGTTCAGAACCAACGTTCAATGCTCACATCGATTTCAAAGCTTACGATACTCCTGGAAACAAGCAGAAAGTGTGTTGAGCAGTAAATTCTTAGAGAAACATAACTCATCTCTGATATGAACAAAATCCATTTTCCTATGTCATTTTGTAGCCTGTAGGTAGAATCCGGTTAGGTTATCCTAAGTTAATCGGTGATTTTGTGGTATTTAGTAATATGAGATGGATTCTATAACTCCGAGAATTATATTTACATATAAATGTTACTCTATCATTTCAGGTGCAAATTTTGCTAGATGCAGCTTGGTCGTCGCTTAAGCAAAGGGAATCCAGAAATGGAAGAGGTAGTAAAATAACTGTCCAGAGGAAAACTCCTCTACCACCCTCTTCTTATCAATCATTTTTGAAGGGGAAACGTGACATAGCTGGTTTCGTTCTCCGGCCTTTCGGTCAGCAATATATTTACAAGTTAGTGGAATAAATTTTTCATCTATGACTTAATAAAAACATACAGTTATGAAAATAGAAATTACTTACTAAAGTTAGTAACTTATCTGGTCAACTTAAAATAATAATAAAAGTTAACGTGCTGTTAATAAGGATACATTTGCAGCCGAATAAATTCGTTAGAGGATCAAAATGCATTCAAAAATGGCACTGCTAAACTGAGAAATCAAGTTATTGCTGCTGCAAGTGCTGTTATGGGAGCTGTAGCAGGATTCCTCGCTGGTGGTAATGAAACGGAAACTGATTTATTCAATCAGTATGATATAGACGAATTATATGTAAGCAAAGATTGCTCACCAAATTTGTGCATTTTTTTTCGCTATAGTAGATCATAGTGCTTTTGGCGAATGTTTTATTGCAGGTATCTGTTCTTCTGGATTGTTTCTTAAAATATCCTGATTGGCATACTTGTGACTTCTTCAAAAGTATCACGAAAGGCGATAGTCAGTTCGAACATCACTGTTAGTTCAAACTAATCTTTTTTTAATAATGTTTATATCCATTCCGACCATTTCAACTTTATTATTTTATATGATACCTGTTTAACAGATATAAACCTAATTTGAAAATTATGGTTTCATAGCCGAAATTCTCGAGGTAATATGAAAAATATTTCAAAAATGTTTCATTTGCAGCGAAAGAAACGTACATATCGGTAGGAAGAAACAATTACTCGTTAATTCGTGTTCTGATGACGATGTTAATTGTTAATGTTCTTGGGTCCAAGAATGCCGTTAATGTATCTGATCGTGGTCAATGTGAGGATTTAAATAAGCACAACAAGGTAGCAGGATAGTTTTTTAATGCAATTTCTACTTTTATATTTTTCAAACTTCTTACAACTTAAAAGATTTTGCTGTTGCTCATTTGCCAATTTATAGTATTTTTTGAAATACTCAAAGTATTCAATATGAATTAATAACAGCGGAGTGTTGTAACATTTAGAACAGCATTCAAATTTCACATTTTATATGCATAAAATTACTATAATGCATATCTGATGGGTAGCTACCTTTTACATTCGAACCTATTCATTCATAACTCCTCTTCCAATCCACAAAATTATGATAAAATTTGTTGGAAGCAGTTCTCTCTCTTTGAGTACTAATGAATAATAAACAATTTTTCGAGGAAGAAATGTCTTGTAGATTTATCATTATACTTGGCAGTATGATCCAGAAGATGAAAAGTTTACATGTTATCGTAATTCGCTATATACAACAGCTGCGGAATCTCCGGCTTTCAAATTAGATGGTACTTTTTATGTAAATTTTTGCTATTTCGACAGAGCACAAATTTTATATGAGTTATTCTGATTTATTTCATGTTATCTGCAGCCAAAATTCACCATTTTCTTGCTTTGTTGATGATTTATCCTCGTAAACCCTTCACACTTATCTTTTTCCGATTTAGTACGATTGGAAATTTTCAGGGTACGATATGCATTCAGGAGTTTATTCAACTTGGGTAGAAAGTGTTTGGACAACGAAACAGCTGGAACTTTTCTTAACCGTACATCCTTGCTTAACGCGTGATATCACTGTGTTTCTCTCTGGGTTCATTTTTTTCATCATTTCACTCATCATAATGGAACTGATTTATTTAGGAAACAAAGAAGCAATCGAACCAATGACATCCATACTCGACTCCGACTGTAATCATCCCTCCCCACTTTAGTCGCTGACTAATTCGTGGTCGTCTACTGGGCTGCATCTTCTTAACTTTAGTTTTTGAATTTATTCCAGGAAATTTCTTCCAAATGACTGTTGTCACTCATTATGAGCATCCTTGTTATGCTTTTCATTGTTTTTGAATGAGTTCCACATATTGGAACAATTCATTTTAATAAATTATTCATTTTCGTTCTCGTTATGCTGTATGTTATGTGAATCAATCCGTGAAACACCACATAACAACTGTTTCTGAGCTGCTGCCACAAGTTGCGAAAGGCTTGAAATAGGTTTATTATTCCGGTTAATTACTTGGCATATAGCACGGCGTGCAAAATCTTCGTTCATATAAATTATTTTTGAGCTTTTTCGTTACATTGCGCAAAGTATATTATGCACATTATGCAATTTCTTGTCATTTTTGTGCTTCCACATTTTTAATTGTGCCTGCAAAGCGATGCACAGTTGGACAACATCCATTACACTTTCTGATAATTTGATAGGTATGAGAGGAGAATTTTCACAACATTAAATACCTCTCTCTGTAGCCTAATTGCTACGAATTAAAGAACTACTATGATGACCGCCAATTTTGTTTGACTGATGAGAAATGCTACGTGTTATTGATGGAGAAGTGAGAGCATTGTTATGGTATTGGAAGTGTTTTTTTTACATAATAATAATGGTTAGTATTATGACTTTACCGGAAACGATTGATATAGAAATAGTGGACAAACAAATATTCAGTTTATGCGAAAAGAAAACACAAGCAAATAACCATAATAATGGAGGCGATAACACAAACAGTGGCTTTGACGACCATGGAAGGGTTTTCATTTTCAGCGAGTACTGGTTGGAAAATGTCCTTGCTGTCATCCTTTTCTGACAAGCATGTCTAAATGAATTCTTTACTCTCTACTTACACTTACAAATTAGAGAAAAGTATCTTTATTTCTCTATGCATATAATATTTGAGTGTCTGGCAGAGATGCAACAGATGCCTACTGACATAGCTTTCAATAGCAATGTGGCGAGTGAAGCCATAGACAAAGCCTAAGGGCAATATATATATATATATCAGCGAGGGCAGAGAAGAATGGATGATTTCTGAGAACTTCATCACATAATCTTTCTGTTCACAAAATCTCAATAAAAAAAAGTCTTGAGTAGCAGCAGGTAAGTAACCGTTTCGGAGTTAAATAATTGTTGTGGCCGTTGAAGAAAGGTGTATTCCGTCTCTTCGGATGACCGATTTCTGGAAAAGAAATCTATTAAAGTATTAAAAAGTTATGAAAATTTTGGTCGGAATGAACAGTGATGGAAGGTCAAACAGTGATAACAGAGGGATCTAGATTTTGATGGACAATTGAATCAGCTCGATTCAGGTCAAATATGGCTTCTCGCCAGAAACTAACCGTGAACGTGGCTCGTGATCATACTGAATGATTTGTACACTAACTGGTTCATCAGCCGCCCCTTCCATATCTTTCTTTTCTTCCTCACGAATGCACACTTCTAATTTTCCACTCCCATTTGCGAATTTCATTACCGTTATCTGCAGAAATCAAGTTTATGGAATAAAGAGAAGGTATATCACGATGATAAATCGAGATGGTTGGTTTTGTGGTGATACTAATAGTGTAACTGTTATACATTTCATTAGATTCTTGTCCGACCTGGTGCCATAGAAGGAATCACAATTCAATGTAATAAACAGTGAAGAAATGCTGGCACATACATACACACACACACACAAACACACAAAATCGGATTGTTGATTCAACCCACGGGAGCTTTCTCAAGAGTGTCAATCAAAACATGACCTAAACATTCTCGATCGAAAGGTTTTACCGATCTGTGTTTTATCGTTGTATATATATACATAAATGTTTGTGTGTGTGTGTATGAAGTAAACAGTGGTGGTGTTATTGTCGCTTGCTCGATGATCTATTCAATTTTTCATCGGTGTGTTATCAGTAGGCTGTCGTATCAAACTAAAGGTAAAACGCACCCACTGTTGGCAAATACTGCTTGCTGATGCGAAAATGAAGTGGAGGAAATGAATTGGAACGGTAGGTAAGATCAGTGAAACACTTACCGTGGAATAGGTGAAAATATTCTTCAGATGCTGAAATCACCACTGCGAGCTGCTTCAACCTGATCATCTTCAAGGAGACACATCTCCATTTCCCACAGGTTATTCAACAAATCTCTCTCATCTTATAACATTTCAAAGTGACAAGAGAAGCGAAAGATCATGGGAAGTCTGTCAGATTTCTTGGCTAATTAATCTGAAATGAAGCTGAGGCTGTGAGCCGTTGCGCTTCAGTACACATAATTATAAAAAAAAAAAAATCCATCAGCCTCTTCAGTAAAACTTTTAAGTTGAAAAGCTAAATTCGAGAAGTAATCTAATAAAAATGAAATTGCATATAGGCATAGCAACCAATAGTAAATGAATCAGTCAGCTTTTTTAGTGCAAATCAGTGGCAATATGTCGCAATTATCTGCTTGTGAATTTTTAACTTACAAGGATTTTGAAGCAAAAAACGTCTAAAAACTTTCTGCAATGAAGTTACAACAGACTCCTGAACTAGAAACTAAGAAAAGAAAAGATTATCAACCGTTCGCAGTGATGATTTCAAGTTGAAGTCAACTAAGAAGGCCCTATGGAAATAATGACCGTACATGTGCTTAAATGAGACAGGAAGTTTTTGGCTGGTCAATAAACCAAATAGTCAATCATCAAAAATTTATGAATAATCCATGAATAAATACAAATTAATGAATGTGCAAGCTACTTTTTTGGCCCAAATAAAATGGATCTAATGTACGACAAATAGAAAAAGAATGGCTAAAAAAAAAGTTTAGAAGAATAACGCAAATTAGGATTCAGTTGTCAGTTGATTTCCGTAACAAACAAATAGCATGAAGTAAAAATAGAGAAAAAATTCTGTTCGAATTTATTTGAATAAGAAACGAATGACACAAAATGAAACTTTCACTTACTTTACTTGGGTTTTTGAAAGACTACCGAATAAGTCTAAAATCTATTATTAGTCAACTTCTTCATAGATAATCAATGCGATATGTTTACCATTCTTGCGATATTTATTTATTTTAAAGATTGAACATCAACTGTCGCTAATGTGTGAAGTATATCATAATAATATTGAGCATTCATTCAAATGAACACAATTTTTCTTTGAATTAATCCACGAGAAAACAATATTGCTTCAGTGGCGCTTTGCTGAGGTTCTCAAAATTTGCTTCACTAAAGCCTATTTTTATTGAGATTTGATATCACATACTTTCCCTACAGCTTGAATTCAACACCGGTTTTAATCTAAAATATTTCGAAAATTCAGGTTAGTATTTTTATAAATTTTTTTGGAAGCCTTGAATTCTTTGCCTTTTTTCTTTCATTTTTATCAAGCACTAATTTTTTTAGCTTAAAAAAAGTTATCTGGAAATTTATGTATAGAAAATTCCGTCTCTTCAAATGCCAAATTCTCGATTCATTAATCCAATCAAGATTCCCCTACTTCTAATTCCGAACTAAGCAATTAATTTACTTGATGAGAAATATCTGAAAAATGAATTATAGTGAAATCAGCCAGAAAAATGGGCAAAGGAAAGCTTGCTTTCGAATTTGTGATAACTGGATATTTGATAAGTGTGACATTGCATGAGTGCGTGGATCACCGCTTCACTGTTTGAATTAATATTAGTAAAAAACTTAAAATATTTTACCGAAAGTGTTTGTCCTTTCACTTTGTTTGTAATTCCACGTCAGTGACATTCCTGGGATGTCTCTGTTTGTTCAATCGAATCATTTCCTTTCAAATATTTCTGCAGTTCACCTTCAATGTTCTGCTTGCTAATTTTCTCAAATATATGTAATGAATGAATGAATTCAAATCTGATACTATTCGTTTCCACTTAACAAGCTAAAAAAGACTGCTAACTATCCCAGTCATTCAAATTTAATTCTAAACTTCATATGAGATTACAATGAAGAAATGCCTCTTCTCATTTTCTGATTTCAGCAAAAGATTACTGCAGCATAAAAGAATGTTATCGAGAGCATAAAAGAATAATAGCTCTTTTAGTGTCCAGTATATCTGCATTGAAGATTTGACGAAAGGTTTCAAAACAAGATCTTATTTATTTAACGACAGAAATTATCCTTTACATTGTGGAATTTTTTCATTTGCTTGACGAAACAATATTTTCCAATTCATTGGAAGCAATCTTTGCACCGATAATAATAATGGGATCTTAAAACATGGAAAGGATATTCAAAAACCAAACAAAACAATTCTAAATTATGAGAGAATCAATAATATTGACTTCGTCAGCGTAAAAATCGACATCTGTAGTTAAGCCCTCAATCTACGCATTTTTAATCTAGCTCGTTGACAATTATTTTCAAACTCAGCAATTTTCAACCAAAGAGTCGAAATCCATATTCGCACTAATAACTTACTCCAATTTCTGAATTATTCAACTCCTCTTACCTATATATTGCAGGACGACACTGCAAGTACGACGATGTACATTAACGACTAACATAGTTGTAGCTTTATGTAGTCTAAACCTAGCCAATTCTATGTCCTCAATCTCTTTAAATTCCTATGGTATATATCCGAATATCCCATGCATACTTTTTTCACTGCTTGCACCTTTCACTAAACAAGTAGGATATGAATGTGAGGAAAAATGATTGTATGAAGAGGAAGTAACAGAAACTTGTTGATAATATCCATTTCTTGCTATAAAAAAAATTTTATATCTAAACCTCCCCAATGGATTACAAATGACATCACAGATAAAACTTTATCATAATAATGCATTATTATTATTTATTAAAAAAACGGCTACTGAATCAATAAATCAATTAAAGCAATACAGGAATTAACTTTCGCCTGATTTAAATTTTTGTAAACTGACGTATTTAGAGACAAGAACTTTAAACATCCTTATAAGCTAATGTAAAAATATTGAGATCACGGAATTCCGATAGGAACGATTTATAGAATTTTTAATTTTATCAGTTGTCTTTGAATTTATAGCCCTTAGGTGAGGTGAAGGCAGCCCATCACTTGAACAATGCTAAAGAATCGTCGTAGATCTCATTAAAAAAAAATAAAAGCATTGTTTTATTATATTCATTATGCTCCGCTTTAATAATTAATACATTTCAATTATCATAAACTCCTTGCTGTTATGATGAATCTTCGAGCCTTCGCCTTTCTTCCATGAACGGCAGAGATAAAATAACGTATTTCATTCAAATTCAAAATTTATCCCTAGGGTCGAACTTGCTTATTCCATGCTCCGACTATAATTCTAACTACCAGTGCAATAACTGCAGTTGTTCCAGCCATAGCTCATATTGGTAGGCGGTATTTCATTGTTTCATTGACATCAGATTCACCAAAACAGAAATCTTTAAAGAAATGTTCAAATTTCCAACAACGCGAAATTTATCATTACAAGTCAGACTTTCCAATTAATTCTTCGACTTGCTAAAGTTAAAAATAGACTCCAGTTACATAGTACTGTAGAAATCTTCACTATAAAAATTGTTTTATCCAGAATGTTTCTTAATCAAATGATTTATTACACAAAGCAAATATAAAATAAATGTTTTCATAGCTAAAGTAATAAATCATTATTCCAATTAACATGTAAAATTTTCCATCTTGTAAACAATGTTCCTCGGTTAATAGTCGCAAAATGATTCTTTGTTTCTTTAGCTCTCTTACATTCTATAGGGACTATAAACGATACATCCCGTTCGTTAAATGGTCGTAAAGTGATTCTGTGTTTCTTAACCTTGTTTGTTTACTTTTTAAAATAACCGCTTCGTGTGATTCGAACAGTATTACCGTCTGTATTCCATCAAATCCATACTAAACTAAAACCGGAATCAAATCTCCGCAAAAATTTCTCTACTAGCAAAACAGAGCAAAGTGATGATCTATTCGTGATTTTCATGTAACGTACGCAGTGAGTAAACTCTAAACCTTTATCACAATCAGTCAATAAAAACCTTTATGACAACCGTTTATCTATGCCAATCATCAAAAAACTTTACAGCAAAAAAAACCGAAGAGGTTAGGTTATAAGAGAATTTTGCCCCGTGCAGTTATACTGATGATTCTAAGGATGTCCCTCAATGCATTATTATCTCTAATTATTTCTAAAAACAACCAACTTTGTAATTCATTGTTGTGGGAATAACAGAAGCTATTGAAAGCATAGTATACATAGTAGAAATGTTATTTCTGTACATTAATGAGAAAAAAGTCGATCAACTAAAGGTTAATCAAATGGAAAAGAAAGGAGGAAATTATAGAAAGTGAAGTTTAAAAAACAGATGAATACGGGGAAGAAGTCATCATTTTAGCAGAGAACTTGTAAATTTTAAATTTCCATTAGCATTGTCGACTGGCTACTACAGTGGTTTCAAGTAAAATATCTTAACGTTACAATCCAGAATTCGTTGCATATAGCACAACATATTTGAACTGAAAGCTTATCATCTTTTCATATCTTTGCAGATCATATAATTTATGGTGAAATGTATGTGTATTATATGTATATATATATACAGGCGAAAAATCGAACGAAAGTTAAAATTTGGGTGATACATTCATTCTTTGCGGTTTTTTATGTTTCGTATTGTCATCTGCGCTTTTTTTACCACAATTTATTCTTTTAACACTCTTCTCCTACGAAATTTGCATTTTTAACATTTGATAAGAAGTACAAAAAGTCTTCGATTTGATCTTTTATGCCACATTTAGCACTTTATCTGTTGTATAAGCCTTGATTTTCTTCTTTTTTTGTCCTGAAAACTATTCAGTTACCATCTTGGCTTAATATTTTTCCTTTCATCCAACACTTGGAAAGTGAAATTTACTTGACACTTTCTTCAAATTGCCAGCAACGGAAACATTGACGCAAAAATTGTTAGTCTACAACGAAACAAATCATTTGACTTCGAAAGGACATCTGTTTAAAGTTAAATTGTCTATCTGCGGCATATTTCACTCCTGGTGGTTAAAAAAGTTAACTCACTTCTTCAATAACAGATGAGTCATAAACGATGAATATCCCGGACAAGTATGCCAAGTTAGTCCCCAAAAAACACACCCCAAACACAGCGTACAATAGCACGCCGATTGTTATTGTGAAAAGGCTTTCGTTGTTTTCAGAGGTAGTAACTAAAAAATGGTCACTGAAATGATATGCGCTTTTGCAAGTGAGTTGAGGATTAGACACCTCTTTAATTCCTTATCGCATAATGCAGTGATGATATTGACAGTGAGATGATAATGATGAAGTAACAGGTGTTTTTGAGAAACTTCAGCTTGCAAACCTGTGAATGGATGGTGCTTCTCCTGAAGAGATCGCTTCCAAATTCGTCGCACTAAACGTGGTTGTCTTTTACGGCAAAGCAAATCGACCCTCATTAATCCATAAGCAGTTCTGCTAGCGTTATCAAAATATGCATCATCTCGGCATCTGCTACGCTGCAATATTTTCTAAGATGAAATACAGCCTATGGGCTAATATTATGGCACAAACGACTTTTTTTTTGCAAATAATTCTGAACTTTTAATCTAGGAATCTAATGATAATCGAATCATTTTAACACCCATGCGATGAATAGTGCAGAAAAGTTTGCCTTACAACTTATAATGATTATAATTAATTAAAACCCATCAGTCTTCTGGCATGGCTGTTTTCGTTGATAATCACTCATCACATTGGTAGACTTATACTAACTTATTTACCGGATCTATCGATCCAGTGTAATTGTACGGCATAGCCCACGCAATCACATTCGAGCTATTTCTCCTTGTTTCGGCACTTACGCCAAACACCGCTTTGATCCCTTCATTGCACCAATGCGTTTTGCTAATGATGATAAAGACTTTCTTGGCGGCCTCTACTCTCACTTTAGAATATTTGCAATCGTTTAAACGATATATCTGTGATATCTGTAACATTCATATCATGCAAATACTATATTGCAATTTTACAGACCAACCGTTTCTTAGGGTCCGAGACACTAGTCCTGTCCACTGATTTTTTGGCTCATTCTCATTCTATCACCAGTATATTTTTTGCTTGACGAATGTCCTCTGCAAACAGAACAGGAAATACAATTTTTAAATTTGGAATTTAAATACATACATTATTATACCAGTGTCGTTGTATGAAAAGTGATAAGCGATGCGAGATGATGTGATTCGACCTTATCTGTGCCACGAACAATATGACAAAAACGTAGCAAGCCAGATACAACCGCATTCTGTCGAGCGTTCTTCTCTGGACAATAATTAGTTCAAATATTTGAATGGTATAAAAACTTGGAAATCACAGCTAAATAATCGTAATTCCTCATATTGAATATATTTACATTAAAATGGATACATTTTGCAAGAAATTTACATATTAAACTCATTCAACTTCAATTTTTGTTTTGCTATGATTTATGCAAATACCCCCAAGGCACAAAAGATTTTTTAAATGAAAATATGGACTGCACAGTTTCCTATATTAGTATACCAGTGATAAAGAATAATTTGTCGTTTTCCCTTCGTTTCACGAATCAAAAAGTTGTTTCACATGAGAACGATAATAATAGCTATTCTTAATTTATGATGAACTTTACAATGTTTAATATATCCGTGGAAGTGGTCTTCCCGGTTGTGACAGATTCACAGGATATAAACGTCGGTATCACTTATAGCGTCATTTGTCTCTTGACAAAATAGCTGTGGCTAAGATAGCAATCGTTATTGAATTGATGACGGGCTCTGGTACAAGTGAAATAGTTCAGACGTAGTGAAAATTAAGAATACCATACATCATTATTGCTGTATTTGCGATCAGTCAACAAGATTATGTCGTAAAAACTTAATGAAGCTATATAATTAAACTAACGTATTTTATCTTGGCAAGCACACTACATTTATACTTTTATCGTTATTGCATATGATCTCGGTATATTCTTTCAGGTCTTTTAGGCCGCCGTATCTTACTCTTGTGACATCCAAGCTTAGTTTTAATATAGTACTGCAAAACTGCAAATATACTCGCTTATATGAGAACTATTTCTGACTGAAGGATCATAAAAAGCATGTTCCTGCCAGTTAAAAACCAGTTATACGATATTCAAGATCGGTATTATCTTACAATTTGGTCCAGAAATTGCATCTTTGGATATCACAAGAATAAGATACGGCGGAAACATCCATTATTTCATTTTAATCCACATTGATCTCTATTCCGTCCGTAATTTTCTTTCAAATTAAATGAAATGATAAAATTGAACGAGTCGAATTGCCTTGATATCGGTTTTTAAACGTTTCCCCATTTTCTTGAAGTTGAAGTTTCAAGAAAATAAATTCAACGTTATAATATCAATCTCAGTAAAGAAAATTTAATGCCCTTTCTGCTAAATGCTTGTTGCTTGTTCAACTTTAAAAATCTCGATCTTCCAATCAAATCAGTTTATTAATGAGAGTTTAAGTAGAATTTAACTTTTGCACACAAAGTTCCGATAGTTTTCTGCAGATGCATAAATATATCATTTTTAGCTAAACATATTTGAAACGAATGACAAAAAATAGCCAATCATTCAACTGTTATAAGAATTCTAACACTTCGAAGATCGAAGAATAAAATAATTGATGTGGCTAAAGTAATTGATGTCCATCTCAGATTTTCCTAATCAAGAAACCATCAATTTAACTTTCTTATCGTCTCGCGTATCCAGCTACGCAACAATTAAATTTGCTTATCATCCAGATCTATCCTGAGAGTTTGAGATTCCACAGGTGTTCGATCTTTAACTTCCGTTCCAATCGTATCCACAAATTATTATGGTCAACTAGAAATAACACTCACAGAGCTTGGGCTCCTCAAATGGTTATTTTATAATTTGCAAAACCGCTCACATTCATGAAAATGGGAAAAAGCAATATTTATCATTTAGTATTTCAACTTTTCTGGAATGAGAAAATTCCGAGCCAAATGTGTAAGCACACACTTGGCTTCTGGGAACAATAAACCATCAATATTTTGCATATTAGATGCAGCCTTGAAGGACTATATGCAAGTGAAATTGTTAAGTCTTTCCAATTGAGCATAAAAGACATGCGATATTTGCAACAACGATTTGTTCTTTGCGCTCCTGAGATAAGTGCTTCATGGTTCGTTCAACTCAAGACGCGTCATTTCAACTACGAATGTTTCATCAGTGAGTTTGTGGAAGTTTTGATGCAGCGTAATAGTGCAGTTTGCCGTATTCTACTTTGTGCAGTCAGTTGTACAATAAAACAGAAGTGCTCCTGCAGATGAATACCAATAATTATATCAGTTTCTTGCGTCATATTCATTGGTGAGCGTAAACCAGAAGATTTCATCAAAAGGATATTGGGTTCTTTGCTTAGAAGGCTTAGGGTTACGTTTTTTGGGTTTATGCTTAGGCTTACGCTTAGGCTTAAGCTTAGGCTTAGGCTTAGGTTTAGGCTTAGGCTTAGGCTTAGGCTTAGGCTTAGGCCTAGGGTTAGGTTTTTTGGGTTCGGGATTCAGCAAAAACCAACAAATATTTCCTTTTCTTCGTCTTGTAGATATACGCTAGTTGGAAACACATTGGTTGATGATGAGGCATCAGTGAAGACATG